GGCCTGGTGCCCCAGACCTGGGGAGGGCACTTGAAACTAAGTCAGCAAGTCCCTTCCCGGGGCTGTGTGACCAGCTGGGGCACAGCTGCAGCTCTGGCCATGCCCATGCAGGACCAGCCGGACACGCTCCCCAGCACCCTGGGCAGCCATGGATGTTGGGGTGGGGGCCTGCCCACAAGAACAGGGGCTGCCTGGCCCCTTCCCGGGGCCAGCGGGGCACAGGCTGTTCTGCAGGGCAGCAACGGGCTGGGGGAGGTCCAGAGCATCCCCTCCGTGGGGCGGCCCCACAGCCCCGGGAGCAGCCCCGGCCCCCAGCCCCAATTCCCAGCGGCAGCTCCCCGGGACGCCCCCAGCGCGGTGGCCCCGATGCAGTGGGCCCAGCGCCAGCGCCCTCCCCACGCTGCCTTTTATGGCCCTGCTGCAGCCGCGGCCCAAACATGGGCTGCGGGAACGGCGGAGCTGGGAGCCGCCCTGGGGCTGACCCTGACGGCGCCGAGGGCTGTCCCGGATGGCCTCCCAGCCTGGGCGGCCGCGCTCAAGGAGCTGGAGCTGAGCGGCAAAGTGTCCCGTGTTGGCAGCACCCCGCTTACCTGGGGGGTCCCCAAGCACCCTGCAGCTCTGCATCCCTGTCCCTCTGCCCCTCACAGCCCCCATCCCTGCCTTGGACGACCCTGCATCCCTGCCTCCTGCTCCACCCTGTGCCAGTCTGCTGGTGTGCACAGTGTCACTTCGCACCTCCGCATTCCCCCCCGAGCCGCATGGTCCCTGCAGCCCTGCCATGCCCCAGGCCAGCACGGCACAGCTTGCACCAAGCTGGGGCAGAGACACAGTCCCGGTTTTGCTCACAGCACTGCAGAGAAATGAGCTGTCAACGGGCAGAGAGACGAGGGGCCCACCAGCACCGCCAGCCCTGGGAATCCTCCTCCCGCCTGGTACCTGGGCAGGGCTCGCGGGGAGCCTGCGGCCGGGCAAGCTGGGCTCCCCGTTGAAGGAAAGGGTGTGCCCCGCCGAGTGACACGGGGTGTGTCGGAAACCAAATGACTCGACCGTCCCTGTGGTGTCACTCCCCGAGAGTGGGCTCCTGCCTGCTGACTTGCTGCCTGTCACCGCCGGGGCTCCAGCAGCTCCTCACCTCCATTTCAGACCTAGCCAGGCTTGAGCTAAGCCCGGGCTCCACCACAGGTCATCACAGGCTGGGACACGTGTGAGACATCGCCAGTCAGTGCTGGCCATGCCGGGGGCCCAGGAAACTCAGCGTGGGCTCGGCGTCGACGTCGGGGTAGAAAAGGGAGCAGAAGCGGGAGCAGGGCAGCTGGGCAAGGCTGCTGCAAGGGGGTGTCTGGGACTGAGCCCCGGGTTGCACCTGGGCTCCCAGCTGTCCCCTCCAGCGTGAGCAATGCGAGGAGGCTGCATTTGCTGTTATTTCCTGGCTGCGGGCAGTAAATCCTCGGGGACTAGGACAGAGTGGCTGCGTTTTTAACAGCAGAGCTCCATGAATCAGCGCTGCAGTCGTCCGTGCACCCTGTGATCCCGTCTGCCTGGCCGGATCATCAGCGTCATCAAAGCCCCCAGACCCAGGCTGAAACCACAGCCCTTCCCTGGGCTAACACACACCTGTGTCCTCCGTGCTCTCACATAGGGCCCTGCTGCTCTTTGCTGGTCAAAGTGGCAAAGCCGCTTTGCTTGGCTCCTTTCTCGGCTTTTCCTGACTCTTCCCGGCTGCTGGAAGCCTGAGACAGTTTCAGCCCCCAGAGAGCGCAGTGTTGGGGGTTTATCCCAGTGAGCGATCAAGCAGGGGAGTGACACAGCCCTGACCGCAGCCTGTGCTGCCAACCTGGGAGGACGCTCCTCTGGGCTGGGGGAGCTCCTTAATCCATCGCAGGGAAACCCAACCAGATCTAACAGCTGGAACTTGAAATTGTCCCTGTTGTGACTAGAAACAGACAGCATGTTTCCAACAAGAGCTCTCGACCTCTTCCACTGGGCTGGTGGAGCTCCCCACTGCACGGAGTGCCTCTGTGAAGATCCATGGTCAACCTAAAAACTGCTCTGCTGCTCAGCTGGCAGCTGGGGGCTGGTGCTGCTGGGTGATGGGCTGTGTGGAGGGGGACAGGGGGGAGCGCAGTGTTCCCTTGGGTCCTTGGCACGTGGCTCCCCAGGCACCGCGGGGGTGTTTTGGCACCGGCCTGGGCTGCCCCAGTGCGTGGGCTGCCCTCAGACAGCATCGGTGACGTGGAGTGAGTGTGCACACATGGCAATGAGAGCTGTTCCAAACGGCATCCCGCGTGTCCCTGTCCCAGACTCGCCCCAGACCCAGTGTGCAAGTGTGGGTGAGTGGACCCTCACGTGCATCCCAGAGATTGCAGCAACCACAAGGTACAAAATCCAGAAGACCCCTGGAGCAGGGAAATGTACTTGGGGTGAAGTTCAACCCCCCCTCCCTGGACGAGGCCGTCCTGCCCATCCTAGGAGTGCTGGTGCTGCCGGCCCTGGCGAGGGGCATGAGGAGGGGTCTCCCATGCCAGGGCAGCTGCAGGAGAGCAGCAGAGCTGGTGCACGTGTTGAGAAGTGAAGGAGCGAGCCCAGGAAGCGAAGCATCTCTTGCGCTGCCCGAGAGACAGCTGGAGTTCCCAGAACCTGCTCAGCATCCCCAGGGGAAACCAGACAGCGAGTGGCAGCCTAAAAATAGCTGCCCAGGGCACACACACTCGCCCGAGAGAAGGGGAAGTGAAAAGGGAGATGGTCTGCAGCTTTCCAAGGAGCAGCCCCCAGCCCAGCCATGGCCCCGCTCAGCCTCGTGCAAGGAGGGATCTCTCCATCCTTCTAAGGGACAGCAGCTCTGTCCCTTCGCTCTCTCGGGACATGCCAAGGTCTCCCCTTGCCACAGCCAAATCGCTTGCTGCCCTTTCCCCAAGGGTGACTCTCAGCACTGCAGGGTGGCCAGTGCTGGGCCCCTTTCACAGCACCACTGCTGCTGCCCAGCCATGCTGGGCTCCTCTCCTCCAGCCCAGGGTGGTTCTTTCTCGGGTGAAAACAGTGCATCCAGTTTGTGAGACGCTGTGTGCTTCTGCCATCCTGGCAGCTCATCCTGGGGACATGGTGCCCAGAGGGCCCAACCTTCCCATGGAGCTGCCATCCCTCTGCTGAGAAGACATCATTCCCATTAGAATATCCCAGTGAACGACAAGCAAAAGGAGAGGACTCAGTGGAGAGGTTTCCCCTGCCCAGAAAGGTCCTTGATGTGGGGGTTTCTCAGGCTGCAGGACTCTCTAGATGGGAACACCCTGCTCTCACCGTGCTGCTTTGCCACTCTCCCATGTGTGAATGACAAAGTCTTCTCTGCAACGCCTTCACCTGAACATTCAGCATGACAAAGCATCTGATGGTCAGGCATCGGCACCCGCAGAGCCCAGGACAATGTCACTACGGGGCCAGGACCGCTCTACCAGGCAGGAGCAGTGCAGGATCCCAGGAGTCCAATCTGAGTCCCTTAGCAAATACTCAGCTCTATATAACCAAATACAGGTAGTTCAAGGAGGGGCAGAGGTTGGAGGAGCCAGTCTAACCAGTCGGCAACCAGCGTGCGTCTTCCAAGGAGTGCTCACCCAGCTCCTGCGTGGCTGTTTCCAGTTGCCTAAACCTGGCATGAGCTGGTGCACCCGCGGAAGCAGCCGGCCGGGAGTCCAGCGCCTGTTCTGCCCTGTTTAACGCACATGCAATGGACTTGCAGATTATCAGCCTTTTGGTTTAAGGAATTCATACACCTTGCAAATCGCATCCAGGCCCAGGGCTGAGCTTTCTGCAGCGGCAGTGACCCACGCTGGGTGTGGGTGCTCAAGCTTCACAGGTCAGCAGGAGCAGGGGCACAGAGCACACCCCCCCACGCTGCACGGCTGGCGGCTGCCTTCGGAGAGGGGATTGAGGCCATCGACCCTCTGGGTTTCTGCCCTGCAAATACAGATGGGCTCCCACCCCCAGGCAAATGTGTGCACTTCCTAATGGGTTTAATGCAGTTCGACTTGGGTTGGACTAAGCAGCTTTATAGCAGAGAGCTCTCTGGTGACAGTGTAACGCACGGAGGGCGGACAGCACGCCCAGTAAATCTTTCCAAAACCTTTGAAAACATAAATACTTGGTGTAATCCGCTGAGAGGATAAAGTGTCAGGGCAGTCACTGGGTTGGTGAAATCGTCTTGCAATCAGCCATGGGCTCCAGCTAAACCTGCTGAGGCGATGCTCGCAGAGCGGTGCGGGCGGAAGGAAGCTGGCCGGTGCCTCGAGGCAGGCAGCCGGAGGGAAGGGCTGCTGGGGAGTTGCACTGCTGCCTCGGCTCAGGTGCAGGGAGGATGGAAACTGCCTGACCACAGAGCCGTGCACGCTTCCTCCCTCTGCCTGCACACAGCAGTGGCGTGCACACAGGCGAGACTCCCTGGCCTTGCTGCTCGGGCATGAACCAGTGGCTGGTTCAGTCAACCTTTCGAAACCGAGACGCCTCTGTCAAACGCTGCATTTTGTGGCTGCCGGACGCCAGCGATGGATCTGCCACAGGGGAGAAGCGCAGAGGCTGTAGCCCCTCGCTCCCACACAGCAGCACTCGGTCGAGTTGTGGCTGCACAGTCTCCCCGTCCATGGCACGGCTGCTGGATCCGTCGCAGCAGCTCCCAGCTCGCTCCTGAGGGAACGGCGTGCCTGGAGCAAGGATCCCATAGCCATTCATGTAAGGAGAGACCCAAGAGCGCAGCCGCGAACCCCCCCGCTGCACAGCCACAACGCCACGTGCCGGCTGCTCCATGGGAGCCGCAGCTTGCAGTGCCACTGGCCAGGACCCCGCAACCCTGGGGACACCGAAGGGCCCCCGGGTGTTTCACAGCCCCCAGAGCTGCAGAGTCTGAAGGTCCCCATCACCGGCTGAGTGGTGGCGGTCAGCACCTCCGCAGTCCTCACAGCAGCTCAGCCCAGGGCTCAGCTCTGCCATGCTCAGGAATGGTCAGGCAATTTGCCATGACCACCAGCGCTTTGCCCGTGTGCCAGCCTCCACCACGTGCCATTCCTGGACCGTGAGGCGGGATGTGTGCTGACAAGGCCCTCGCCTGCTCCTCTTTCTGCAGCTCCCCAAGCTGTCCCAGCCCAAACCAGTAATTATCACTTCTGTCTATGTCTTCTCATCGCCGTGCTGCCCAGGGAGGGGAGGCCAGGGTGTTGGTCTGGATCAGCGCCACATGGTGTCTAATTGCTCTGCCAGAGGAGCTGGTCCTGGCAGCGGGTGGGAGCCGGAGCCGTGGCTTGGCGGTGCCAGGTGCTGCACAAACGCTACCGGGCAGCCGTGGGAGCAGAGTCCCTGCATGGTGCAGAGCACGGAGATAAAAGGTCTGCTGCCGGGAGCCCGCATGGTACCCGCAGCACAGGTCCTGGCATGGGAGGGCTGCAGCCTTCCCTGCTTCCCTTTGTTTCCCTCTTCCCCATTCCCTGTATGCCAGGAGCAGCTCTACACAGGGCCAGTCACCCTGCCCTTCCCAGGCAGTTCATGGCAGCACCTGGCTACAGGCACATTCTCCTCAGCTGTAATCTTAGCAAATCAATCAATCAATCAATCGGTCAATCTCTGTGCTTAAATAGCTTGGCATGACCAGCTCAGTTTCCTCTGCAGCTGGGGAAGGCCTTATGGATACTTGTCCCTCCCAGGAAGAGTTGCTTGTGTGGGTGGGAGCCGGGAGAGTTTGTGCATGGGACAAGGCAGTCAGGCTGCACCTCTGGGTGTGCTGGGCTTGCTGTGCCCCAGAGCGCCCAGCTGAAGCCCTTTCTTCTGGGGCTTAGCCCAGCTCCTGCCCGGGAGGGAGAAGTGGTACTGAGTGCCTGGGGGCTTAGCGGGGAGGAATGGGTACGGTGCTATCCTCACTCTGGGGGTATGAGCGTGTTGATCAGAGGAGCAGCCCGGTGTGGGGTGAGCAGAGGCTGGTGCTGCCGTCCCTGTGGGCACGGACAGACCAAGCTGGCTTTGCAGCCACGTGAGGTGGAGGAATCAGGCTTTGCTGCATATTGCTGCATATGGCAATTCCAGCAGCATGTTTTATTGCTGAGGTTCGGGTGGTGGTTTATCTCCCGAGGATGTTTTTGGGACTGGTTTTCCCTGTGTTTAATGTTCTCTGAAAGGTGATGCTTTTAAAAGAAACTTCAGGTAAAGCTGCTCCAATCTTCTTTGAGTTTGATTACTGAAATGTCAAGATAATGCTTTTGTGTTTCAAAACCATAGCCCTTCAAGTGAAGCTGTCTCCCTGGCTGCCCATGCAGAGCTGGAGCTACCCAAGAAGCTCCAGCTGAAATGCTTCCCTGGAAGCTCTGGTTAACTGGCAGCGCAGCTGCATTGTTTGCCCTTATCCTGCCGTCAGACCACCATGCAGAGCTGGAGCTACCCAAGAAGCTCCAGCTGAAATGCTTCCCTGGAAGCTCTGGTTAACTGTCTGGCAGCGCAGCTGCATTGTCTGCCCTTATCCTGCTGTCAGACCATGCAGGGCAAACCTCTGTGCCTGGTGACTCCTTTGCACGGTCAAGACTTTGTTTGTACTAGATACAAATCTTAGATTGTCTTCCTAGAAAGGGATAAGGACCCTCCCGGAGGTATGTTCTTTGATTCACTTTATTAGGAGTAGTTTGGTGGTTTTGCTCATTGAAGAGTGCGATTGGAGGCTGGGCTTCTGTTTGCTGTGATGGTGGAAGTATCTGCTTGGAGGCTTTTGTCCTTGCACCTTCAGTGGGAAATGAGCTGCAGCTTTTCAGCCTGGCTCCTAAGAAAAAGGGAATTTCTTGCTCTCCTCTCGAGTGTGTTGGAGAGTCATGTGGGGGAAAAGCCCTGGGAAGCCACAGAGGATAATTTCTTCCCAGTGCCTCCATTGATAGCATTTCCAAACCACCACCCTAATCACCACCCCAACCTGCTCTCCTCAGCAAGATGTCCTGGAGCCTCCAACTTTCTCATGCTCTCCGCAGTGGGTGCAGGGCAGGTGGCAGCGTAACTCCTGTCTACCTGGAGAATGGAGAGGGGAGAGGAGAGGAAATCCCAGAGCCACCTCCAGGCTGTTATGCCTGGGCCAAGGGCCAGCCAGAGCCATCCCAGCTCTTGGCCCGAGTGTGGGACTCCAGTGTTCCCTCTGTGGCTTCTGTTGCAGAGGAACCTTTGTTCAACATGTTCTACTTGGGGTTTTGTGTCCAAAGTTAAATCTGACTCCAGCAGCTTCTTGTTTGATTTTGTGGAGCAGCTTGAAAGTTGAGCTGTCTGGGGCTTGCAGCATGTTGGCACTGTTTATTTTTTGATGGAAGTTTTTGTGATTCCAGTGGATGGAGAAGATTGGAAAAGCTTGCACAAAACATCTCAATCCCTTCACAACTCGTTGGGCAGCTGAGTGACTCCTCACTGCTGCCACTGGTGGATTGCAGCCTCACCAGGAGACACATGCGCAGACCCATTTCTGATGGAGAAAATCTCATAATTACACTCAGCTGCCAAGGAACAGCATCTGCTTAAGTGATAAGAGGAGGAAGAGAGCTCTGAGTACAGCCCTCTCCAGGGCTGCTCGAGGAGCCATGGGGGACAGCAGAGAAGGTGCAGGGCAGGATGAGGCAGATGATGATGTGCACCAGGCTGTCTTGTGGTGCGCAGGGGAAGAGATTCCCATCTCCCTCTGCCCCAGACCTACAGCACCCCTCTGCTCCTACTGGGCAAGGGGAATGCCTCCTGGGTGGGAATGCTTCGCTGGTGCTTGCTGTCTGATATCCCAGGCAGCCTGTGTTGCTCTGGGAACGTGGGGCAGGCGGGACCTGCTCCCACCAGGTGGGTGTTGAGCCCTGTGTTGTGGAAGGAGAGTCACCGCCAGAGACAGAGGGACTTCAGTGCCTCTTTCCTCTGAATTTCTCCTGACTTGCCTGATGCTAAGAAGATTAAAGACAGATGGTCTCCAAGGCCCCCTCACTGGCACCCATGCTTGAGGCTGGGGGTGAAGGCACAGCGGAAGAGGGCCCTGGGGAAGGGGGGTTATTCCCATCTGAGTCCCCAAGGGATGGAGTCTCCTGGGAACCTGCTGTTCAGTGCTGCCCTCCCTGCTTGCGCTGACTGTGGCTCTGCAGAGCAGGGCTGTCGCCTCCTTCCTTGTAGTGGGGCTCTGGGGGTGAGGGGAGGTGGGAGAGGGGAGCCCAGCCATGCTCCCAAAACGACTGCTCTGGCTAACAGTGCCACGTGTACTTGGTGTCTCGGCCACACGAAAACAGGCTCCATTGTGCTTTGTTAAACTGCTGTGGAAGCGTGCTGTGTACTCCTGGCAAGTGTCTCATTCTTGGGGATTTTGCACACAGCCTCTCCTGGCTTGCACTGGAAGCAGCATCAGAAAAGATAATTCACCTAAGCTGGCCCCATGTGCACCCGCAGCAACTGCAGCGATGCACTTGCGAAGCCATTTAAATTTCCATGCGATGACCCAGTTCAGGGTGGTTTTGCCTCTGGATTTTCCACTGCTGCTGCCTCTGGGTGGGTGGTGGCAGCTCCAGACCCTGCTGCTGTGCTTGGTTTTAAGGCCACCACGCTTGCTCCACACTGACAGCCCTAGCCTTGAGTGCTCAGACTCTTTATGGCACTTTCCTGAGCGTTACGAAATGCTGGGCACTCTGTGCGCTGGTTTTCTTCCTGCAGCACTGTCTGAAAATACTCTCGTGTGCTCCATGATCCTGCATGTTTTGCTGAAAGCTTTGAGGAGTAAACAGTTTGTTGCAAAGGGGTTTTTGCTGTTTTAGGAAGCCTGTTACACTGGGGGTGGGGCACGTCACCTCAGCTGCAGGAGCAAAAGTGGTGGGGATGCTCCAGGGGTTTTCAGTGCACACGTTGGAGTAAATTCCAGCCTAGCTTCCAGCAGAGTTGACTCTTCCCTCACCATTTTGAAACAGCCCTGGCCAGCGATCACTGAGCTTCTCAGCACCTGCATTGGGTTTGAACTGTGAGGCAAAGGGGCAGCTTGCATTTAGAAAGAGACAATAATTGCAAGTCAGATTTGCTTGTTCAATACTCTATTGACAGATTTGCCTTGGCAACCTGGAAAAGGGTTTCATTGTGTGCATCTTACCTCATGGCATCCTATTGATTGGGTGGGTGGGTTTTGTTTTTTGCGGTTTGTTTGGGTTTTTTTTCCCAAGCCTACCTACTCATCCTTTTTCTTGTCTTTCTCTGGCACGGTGTTGACCTCAGTAAGGGCTATATTGTAATCCGGTGTTCAGACTGGCCACAACTTCAAATGCAAGCCAGAGCTGACAAAAGCAGAAGGGCAAATCCACAAGCCCAGCTGGCCAAGGCTGTGGGCGGCCAGGTAGCAATGAATGGGGCCAGCGCCCTCCCCCTCCCTCCAAGGACACCCTCATGCAAGAGAGTTGCAAAGTCCGTGCTTGGCTGCCTGTGAGAGCGGCCTTGAAGGAAATGCTGTAACTATTCGTGAATTAACTTTCTGTTATTATTTGGTGCTTAGCCTGGTGTGCCCCTGGCCTGTTTGGGCTCCAGGAGGAACCGTTGGCCCTGCCGGGGCAGATGGGGGGGGGGAAAGCTCAGCACCCAAATGGCAGCCTTGGGGTCTTCGTAGTGGAATTGGAGGATTACAGCTGAAAAAGAATTGCTGGTTTGAATTGCTAATAATGATACAGACTAATGAGCAACATCAGAAATGATGGCATGTGTAATCAGTGCTGCTTGATAGCAAACATACAGCAGGTCTGCAGGAGCTACTGGCGTAAGAGGCGAGGGGAAGTGGAGCATCTTGTGTGTTGGAGAGGCAGAACCCAACCCAAGTGAGGCACTGCCACAGAGTTGGCTCTGTCTCCAGGGTAAGAACTTTATAAATAATGATGGAAAGAATAAAGCTAGACAGAGAGAATAAAGCTCTGGGTAGTAGGAGGGAACATGGCCAGCAAGAATTTGAGGGGAAATTGCCTTGGTATGCTTCCTAGCACCTGCAGGAAGCCCATCTGTCTCTGGCTGTTAGAGGTTTTGTCTTACAGCTGCACCCCAGCAGCCTCCACTCAGGATCAG